GAAAGACTGCGAGAGCTGGGCCTGTTCAGCCTGGAGAAGAGAAGACTGAGAGGGGATCTCATCAACGTGTACAAGTATCTGAAGGGGGAGTGTCAAGAGGATGAGGCCAGCCTCTTCTCTGTGGTGCCCAGCAACAGGACAAGAGGCAACGAGGACAAAGTGAAACACAGGAAGTTCTGTCTGAATCTGAGGAAAAATTGTCCTGTGAGGGTGACAGAGCATTGGAACAGGTTGCCCAGAGAGGTAGTGGAGTCTCCTTTGCTGGAGATATTCAAAACCTGTCTGGATGTGATCCTGTGCAATGTGCTCTAGAGGACCCCGCTTGAGCAGGGGGATTGGACTAGATAATCTCCAGAGGTCCCTTCCAATCTTTGCCATTCTGTGAAAAGAGCTAGAAGTACAAAGAAAAGGGATATGGAATGTATGAGACCTTTTTTTCATATACAGTCAGAAAAAATGGGCAACTTGCTGGAAACTGAGTGAATGGTAGACAGAGTCCACTGGCTAAATTCAGCTACAGCTGATGTAATCTTTGTGTTGTAATGTCTTTTGTCTCCCTTGCTTGTTGCTGTCACTGTCTAGAAGCGATTGTAAGCTCACATCGTTAGCTTTGTCTTGCATAATTTATATTAAATGCCAATATTACTACCTAGAAATATTTCATATTTTTTTCCTATAAAACTATCCAGCCTACCACTCAATACTCACACCCATTTTTCATGAGTGTTTTTGGGCACTCAGGTTTTCTAGGAAAAAAAAAATGTTTTGAAATTGATATTTTATTTCCAGAGATATTTGCATAGTGAAACCCTGAGCACTTAGATAAGAAGTGTACTTGATCTTAGCTATAAATGTCCTTTCCATGATTTCTCATCATCAGCCTAAGTGCTGTTTATTTTTAGAGACAGTGAAAAAGTAGGGTTGTAAATTTTAAGTTTCAGGAAGTCTTATGCTTTGGTAATAGTGTTTGTCAGAGACATAAAGGTTATAAGGGTGAAGGATCTAGGCACATAAGTTACTGTATTTTTGTGTTAAGTGTTATATCCAGTGAGCTGTAACTTGTACACTTGAAAGGGAAAACACATTAGAATATATTTTTACTTATTCTTCCAAAGAGAAAAATAAAACCGAGATGCTTAATTGTCAGTCTTAATCCAAAATCATGCCAACTCATGAATAGCATCATTAGCTGTTACCTATCTGCTTTTAAAATAATCTTTTTAAAACTGCATAATGTATGATAACTGGAAAAGCAAATGTATAAGTTTTATGTAATTGTTCATTTTATTCACATCACTTTGTGCTTCCCTGGAGTTACATATTTTATTTTGAGTTTTTACTGGTTTTAAGTCATAAATACAACACGACTTTTACCTGTGCTTTAAAGTTATGACTTTAATAATGTTTTTATGTATTTAATGTTATCCTATAAACCAAATATTTAATGATACTTTTACTAACAAAAAAAATATAGATCAGAAGGAAGTAGCTGGGCAATGCATAGTCATAAACTTTTAAAGTATGCAGATTCTGGAATTTTCTTTCAGGTGTTAGATGTACTTCCATTTTTAATGACTGATCCTGTAAATGTTTATGGTTGATGTGGTAAATGTTCCTCTGAAGAGTCGTACTGAAATCCTGACTAATGAGCATCCTTTGCATCATCCAGTGGGCTGTGAATGTCAATGCTGGGTATAATTAGATTCAAGATATAGCTAGAATATTTCCTAACATTCAGGCTTTTCTTAAAAGTACTTCAAAGATTTTTGCTGATGATATCTATCCGAAATCTCATACTGTCGGTATGGAAACACAAGCTTCCAGCTGAGGGCAGCTGCCAGCACTTGCATCCAGACATCGTGCCGGATCCTGAGGCAGCCAGAGATCGCTGCGCAGCCCTGCGAGGCAGCCCTTAGCAGACGCTTCGCGTGCTGGGATTGGGGGCTCAGATAAGAAGTGAACTTGAGCCTCAGATTTGGATCTTCCTATGCTAGTGTTCTGAGCAGCTGATAAGGCACAAAACACCCACGGATTTTGTATTTATAAATGATAACTCATTTGCCTTCGTAGTAGTTTCCTCTCAGACTATTATTTTACATGCCTTCACATTAAATGCACTGTTTACCCTTCCCAGGGACTGGTGATAAGGAATTGAGTGCCAGTGCAGTTTCTAGTATTGGATTTCCGTCTTCTGCTTAGAAACTCTGCAGAGTTCACTTTCCACTTCAAAGCAGCAAGAAAGGCTCATCTGTTTTCCTTCAGATAATAAATTATTGATAGCACTTTGCTTTTACAACTGTAAAAATATATTTTGCAGTAGTTGTTAATGCAACTAATGTTTGCATTAGTGACGATAGTTCAAAGGGATTCTTGTAGAACCAAATTCTCAGCTGAGATGTCATGTTTTACTCTTTTCCAGGTCAATTGCTAACTCATTCTTTCAGAAATCCTGTATTTTAGGATACAGGATAACTGTACAATTGGATAGAGATAACTCATTATGAAAATAGTTTCCTTCTTGTACAATTTAAGTCAATAGATTAAAATGATGTAGTCACATATTATTAATAAAATACATATTCAAGCTGATAAGTATATAAGGATGTTCTGAGAAAGAATAGTATTCAAGTAAAGCTACCAAACTGCTGTTGATCTTTGAATTAAGTAAACCTAGTGTCAGTTTATGCCTTTTCTGTTACTTGAATGTATAGATTGGAATTATGAGGTACTCTATAATCTTATTTTAGACTTGTGAGATGATATTATATTCAGACTTTCTCTGTGACTGAATGCAAAAGTAAGCTATGCAAATGCAATTTCCTTTTTTGGGTGGAGAGGCACAGTAATGTAGTGAGCAGGACATTGGATTGGGGTGCAGGAAAAGTAGGTTCATTCTCTGCTTAGTCACCGAATTTCAGTGTGGTGTGTAATTTTCCCTTCTCTGTGTCTCCCCTTTCCACCTATCCTTGCCTACTTAGATTATAAGCCTATTAAGGCAGAAACAGTCGTCTTCTGCATATTTATAGTAGGGTGTCCAAATGAGACTCTGGTCTTTCAATTCCTCTAAAGCCTGTTACAGGCTAATAATAATACTGTGGGAAAGACTAAACAGTTTGAAATGCTGTTATGTTTTGCTTACTTCCTCTATACTCAGTAGCCAAATAATAGATTATTTAGATCAAAAAGGATAAAATTTAGATCAAATTAATAATGGTATTTTGGGGTCTCTCTGTAGGACTTCTTTAATCTGCATCCTTACAAAAAATTATGGAAACAAGTCAGGAAACAATGACATCTAATATGAAGATAATCACCAGCTGAAACTTGAGCTGCTTTTTGAAGAGTTAAGGACGCCAAGCTTAGTCCTTGGTTGTGCCTGGAGTCGTTGAGCCCTTCTCCAGACGAGAGCAGCCTTGGGGCTACTGAAACATGTCCTAGCTGATGATGGTTGCCCAAGAGCTGCTATCTCAGCCAGGGATCAACAGACGCTCTCTGGCCATATCTACCTCTAAACTATCTTCTTTCTCAGTGTAATAATGTATTGGTGTGGAGTTCCTACACGTCCATGCCCTTTTGAAGGCAGCTGTATGGCTCTTAAGGCTGTTATTTGGGCATCTCATAAGTCTGCTACTTGGTAATGCAAATGATCAACTATAGCTGCGTTGTGATGAGGAACCCCTGAGCCTTTTCCTCATTGCCTGATCTGAAGCTCACTGATCTTGATGGAAGGATCTTTCTCCATTTTAAATCTGCCCTGCTATATCTTCCAGTTTGTCTCAGAGATAAACAAATGAGACAGTAGTAATGGACTTTTTTGAATAGTATATAAATATTATGCATAAGAAATGTCCAAAGCAAAATAATTTATTCAAAAGCTGTTTCCTTCTTATTACATCATTAGTATTTAGCTTTTCGTCCTAAGGTTCTTACCAGGCATCTGGCACTCCGCTTTGTAGAATTCTAATATATTGTCCAGCCCTTTTCTATAAAACTGTTGGTTGGTCCTTTAACTTAGGTGTTAAGCTTTGTGAAAATGTCCTGATCCATAAATTCTGTTTTAAATTTTCAGCGGTGAAAGAAAACCAAAAATTGATCTGTTCAGAACATGTGTTGCTGCTATTCCTCGATTACTTCCTGATGGAATGTCAAAACTTGAGTTGATTGACTTGCTGGCAAGGTAAGTGGCTTAAACATTGCATGGCTGCTCAAGGGGAACAGAATAAAAAACTGAGCCACTGTGCGTGTAACTGTTTCTCAGAAAAAGCCATATGTGTATACAAAATAATCTACTATTAATTGACATTAATAGTAGACATTCTTCTGTTTCATTTGAAGAAAAAACACAGTTTCCTTGTAATATTCACTTATTGCCATTTTTTATTACCATAGCAGATTAATTAACAGAAGAAAGCAAACAACTTTTTAATGTTTTTTATTATCAGACAGAAAGTAAAGGGAAGGCTAAGTTTGAATTTCTTATCCCTCCTATTTGGGACCCATTGAATTTATCTAGGTTTACATCACTTTAATGAGGAAATTGGTCTACAGCACATGACAGTTAAAACAGTTAGGCTTATGGTATGAGATCAGTGACTTACTGCAAATTATTGTGATGACAGATAATGGTCAGGGCAGAGAACTCTGTTATGTCTCTGTTCTAATATACAAGTGCCAAAAATTGCAACATTATGATAGTAAATCAAGCCATAAGGCCCTTAAAATTTATTGTTGTCAGGTTACAACAAAGCAGTCTTGGCCCATGCATTCTTGCTGTCAAAATGCCTGTGAGAAATGGTGGATGTGGGGGTCAGAGGGTTATGTTCAAAAGCAGTTTGTTCTGCTCTGTGTGCAACCAGCCCCAGTGGTGTGCTAAAATAGTAAAACAATTGATTCTGGAGTGGTAAAGAGTACAGACAGACAAACAAGTCAAAATTGTAGCCAAGGGTAAGTGTGGTGTGTGACATGCGTATTGCAGGCTTAATTTCCTTGTGTTTACATCTATGGCTATAAATCAGTTTTGGGATGTTTTACATCATTGCATTATCAAATTATACAAATCACACATTAGATACTTAGTTCAATGAATGAAGAGAGACACATCTTCCTTTAATCCAAGGTTTCAGCTAGCGTTCTCCCCTCAGCAATGGTCCTAACTTAGCTTGTAGAAGACACATCCATTCTGGTCATAGGTCTTTGGTCTCAGAGGATTTCCGCAGTCAGACCTTGAAAATAGCTTCACTGATCGTAAGGAAGTACAGAGACCAATGTGAATTTCCTCATAAATTAGTGCTTCCCTCCTTAAAAGTCTCAAAACTGTCAAAATAACTACTGTTTTGTTCTTACTCTATCATTGCAGTTTATGCAGGAAAGGCTGACTGGGATTCTTTAGCCACAAGGAGCTTGTGAGCGTTCCTTGGGTGATTAGCGTGCTGGGACTATGCGAGCAGTAGGGCTGTGATAGCTGAGGGCTGCTGGGTAGTCTGAATCCTTGTCTGTGAGATGAAGTGTGTCATCAAGAGGAGCTAAAGACGGATCAACTTTGGATGCGATTGCATGCCCAGACATTGCCCAACAGGGCGACCTTTGGGAAACCCATCTACTCCTGGAGTCCCTTTCCTCTCACATGTCTTATGCAAACTGTGGCCTTGATCGTGTGAAGAGTTCACTTTTAGAGTCAGGCAGGGATAGAATTTAGTAAGATGAAAATTCGTTATCAAAAACTTAGGAAGAATTCTGTTCTAACCTTGGCTGAACTAGCTTTCTTAATTCAATGGCAGTTAGGGGAATTAACAGGTTCCTTTTAGTGATTTTGGAATTATTTTCTCATAAATTCATGTATGTACATTTATAGTTTCATAAAAGAAGATATTTTCAAGTGAAAACAGAAATTAAAAAACTAAAAGATATTACTTCCTTTACTTTCTTTCCTCAAGATCTTTGACTTGCAGTTTTTGTAGTGAAAGCAGGTTTAGACCACCTGGGTTGGGTCTTGGGGCCAGAAGGACTCTCTCTCCTCCATAGTAAGAGTCTGCTCAAGAGTCCTTCATGTCAGGCTAACATTATTTCCTTCTGTAGCTGAACAGCAGGTTTTGAGAATAGGACAGAAGCAGCAGATAGCACATGCTAAAGTATCTTTGAGCGATCAATGCTGTTTTATCTTAGATTCTCAAGCATAAGCAAGGGAAACACAATGTAGATCAAAATAAGTGGATGCATAATAGGTTGGAAAACTTTCTTCAGAAAATAATTATCAAGCAATCAGTTCACTGTCAAATTGCAGGAACTGCTGTTAAAGAGACTGAGCAGAGCACAGCAAAAAGAGCAATCAGTGATTTGGAAAATATGACCCAGAAGGAAAGACTGAAAGAATTAGGTCTGTTTGTTTAATCTAGGACAGGGTGGACTGAAAACAGTCTACAAATATATAGCTTCAGAGAAGAAGGGAATAGCAAGAAAGTTTAAGAAAGTAATACCTGGCCTAATCTTAATGTAAGTCTCCAAACTACTCCAGCAACAGAGCAGCTTCTGCATTCACTTTCCTATCCTGTACATTTTTCATTTATGCTACATCCCAGGAGATAAAACTTTGCTATTCTAGACATGCTGCATAAATCTTATTACAGTATTGTGTCTTTTCAGGGTCAGAGGTGATTATGCATTTTGTGACTAAAATCGATAGGAGGGTAGGAATTTCCAAAGCAGTGGGATTTCAAGCTCTCACTTGTAACTCTCTTCTTGAAAGGAATCTGAGAGGCTGTTCTGGAAGGGGTCTGTGCAGGCTGTGTTGTTTGGACATAAAGCTGCTAAATATTTTCTTCTCACTAAAGATAAAATAACATCTTTTGGTTAATCGTTCTTTTACTCACAGTTTGGTTTGAATTTTTCATCCTCACAACAGATGTGTCCTTTGGCAGTTTCCAGAAGGAATCTGTAACTCAGCACCTAGACTTTCCTCCAAGACAGCTGTATTCAAATTATAAGCAGTAAAGCAGATGTCAAGTATATACTGTGCCTTTCGCCCTTTTACTGCCCACTGAATCCATTCATTAAAAATCCCCAAGCTAGATTTTAAATTTAACAGGCTCAAGTGCAAGAAAAAGAGCATTTACTTGCTTATTCAAGCTGCCTCTTATATCTTACTGAGTTAGAACTGCCAGAGACGGAGTACAGATTACTGTCAAAGTATCGCATGATCACAGACTGTCTTATCATTTTTGCATTTGTAAGGGGTACTTTGCGAAGGTAAATTTACTAATAATTATTATTTTGATTAAGTCTTCTTGAGTAAAAGAAGAAATTCTCGGCTTTTGGATTCATGTCTATTCTCCAGTATTACAGTAATACATAGATGCATTCTCAAGCTCAATTTAACTTTTCATCTCATTTGATAATGTCCAGTGCCACAGCAACTTGGGCTTGCAGACATATGTGTTTTATATCTCCTTTTCTATTATTACTTTGTGTCATGATGGAAGTTATTTCATGGATGACTTAATCATACTCTGAGGGATTTTGCTTGCTTTTCTGTTTCTGATATTCTAAAGAGGAGATAAAAATGGTCCTTCCCTAGCACAACAAAATAGCATATTTCCCAATTTGTCTGGAAAGTCATATGGTTATTAAAGTGTAACAGTTAGTCCTAGTCACTAGAGGTGAAGTTTCATGGCAGTCACTTTCCTTTGACTTGACTATGAAATTTCCCTTGCCTCTGAACCAGGCAGCTGTAATGGGCCAATTTTGTTCTGAGCTGCATCTCGTCATACCATTCTAACTGAGTGAAATTAGGTCCACTGCCTTTACTGGGTTTTTCTGCTAGATTTCTACCCATTTCTTTGCAATGCATCCTCATTTTCTACTCTGTTACATGTAAATAAAATACTTTAAAGGTGAGTGCTAACACAGTACACAAACTTAGTCTCTTGGTTAATAAAAACAAAATACGTCATAGACAATGAACCAAAAATTGTAGAACACGCTGGTCTGATTTTGCTTTATTCTGTCAAGCTACCAAACCAGAAATGATGTGTTAATTTTTGTATCAAAAGAAAGCATATAAAATTTTTGTGTTGGAAAAGAACATCAGCAGGACGCAAATACAGAAGGAAATAAAATAAAATTTAAAAATAGGTTCTAAAACTGTACCGTGTTTCAGAATGATTTTGGGGCTGTTTTAAAAGTATGGAGTATCCTGAGGCTGTTGTTTCTATTTTCCTATCCTAAGTTGATTAAAACATAAAGAGTTTCTTAAATTCAAATGCCTATTTTTAACTGCTTGGGAAAATTTACTCTCAATAATTATGTTTTACTTCTTGGCTAAAGGTTCATTTTGACTGTTAGGCAGCTGAGGTATTGTGATTCTTTTATTTTTATACTGAAAGAAAATAAATATATAAATGATGACATTATGTATTGTTCTATAAGACTCTTGTTAGTATAGCTAAGCAGCAATCATTCACAATTTTGTAAGTGAGTAAATCAAAAAAGTGTTATTTATTCTGTGAGACAGCAAAGTTGCCAAATTCCATTCTTTACAGATACCATCTTTTTGGAGTGGAGTAAACACTTCTTTTCGATCCGTGAATGTGTTCAGGCACTGTTGTATCCAAAGTTATGGTAAAAACAGGTTAAAGGTGTTAAATGTGGTCAGTAATAAAACTGTGATGGTATCATTGAAATTTACATTGTCATTGGGGATTTTCTGTCAATGTTAATTTACTGAGAAACAGATGTTCATAATGACAAGAAATACCCCTTAGATTTTTATTACCTGACATTTGCTTTTGCTTACAGGCTGTCTATCCATATGGATGATGAACTTCGACACATTGCACAGAACTCTCTGCAGGGTCTACTTGTTGATTTTGTTGACTGGCGGGAGGATGTACTCTTTGGTTTTACTAATTTTCTGCTACGGGAAGTGAATGATATGCATCATACCCTTCTTGATACTTCACTGAAGTTGCTGCTGCAGTTGCTTACACAGTGGAAGCTTGTAATACACACTCCAGGAAAAGCTTCTGAACAGGCAAAAACCAGATCCGCAGAGGTATGAAATTAAGAGAGCTTTGTGTCCTAACATTTATACTAATTGAAGGCTGAAATCATGTTCCCCGGTTTGCTGTGTTTAAAGTGTTTCGTGTTTATTCACCTGAGAAGAATTCACTACGTAATATATTTTTAAGGTAATTAGTTCAGCTGTCTTTTGAGGACAGCTATTTCCTTGTGTAATACAGCAGATGTTACTGTTGTTGAGCAACATAAGAGAATGCATGTCAAACCAAAATGAGCATGTCAACAAAAGCACATAAAGTGAAATATGTGTTTGTAGATGTGGCAGAAGGACATTTTCCCAGGGCTGAAACTGATTGATAATGCTAGTGGGAATGCTGGGGAGAGTGAAGTGGATCTTCCCCTCCCTTAGCCATTTCATTTGGCTGATTCAGAAACATCAAAGAAGCTGGTTGTTTCTACCAGCCTGCTGTCTCCATGTGCTGCAGACATTGCTGGGAACTGAACAGCTTTGCTCCTGCTCAAATTTCTCCCATCTGCCCCTGTCCCACAGAGAGTTATATAAGGAGAGAGAATTTTCAGGCTCACTGCCTCTTACCCTTATTGCCTTTTGGAGCCAGGCAGGAATTTTTTTTCCTTTGGGCAAGCATGATATCTGCTTTATATCAAGGAGGACCATTAACCTGTAAAAGTTTTACAAAAATGGAAAAAAAGAAAAACCTACATAATTTTCAGTAAATATTCCTGGTGGTATTCTATGTAATAAGAGGTTTTAGAGACCACCTGCCTGGCTAAAGGGTTACCTGCTGCAGGAATGAAGGAGGGCCTGAGGACCCTGTTATCTGGAGCAGGAAGAAGTGTACAATCTTCACAGGCTAAGCCAAACAATATTTACTAGAGGGTGGAACAAAGCAGGTATTTGAATTTCAAATTAGAAGGAGTATTTGTCTAAAGGAACCGACCCTCATGTATCTGTTTTGTGGAATAGGGTAACTTAACCAATAAATCTTGGCGGAGTGTTGTCAGTCTCCTACTTCAGTATTTTTGATTTTCTCCATTTTGATTCAGTATTTGTCCGATTTAGATGATAGAATATTTCTCAGAGACCTGATTTCTAAGCACCACCATTCCATTTTTACACTTGTATTGTTTTATAGTTGATACCAAATGGATCCAGCCACAGGATGCAGTCTGAAAGAAGTCCCTATTCTAATGTACTACATGCAGTTGAAGGATTTGCGCTGGTACTGCTGTGTAGTTTCCAAGTTGCTACACGTAAACTAGCTGTTTTAATCCTCAGAGAGATCCGTGCTTTATTCCTGGCCCTTGGCCAGGCAGAGGTATGATTTTTTGGAATTAAAATTTTCCAAAAATAAAGCTCTGAACAGATATTGCAGTTGCTTTTACCATAATGATTACAGTGCAGCAGGTCACTTAGCGTATAAAAGACACTTGATCTGAACTTGCCATTGTTATTTGCCTGAACATTGCAAACCTTTCCATTTACTGGACAGTGTAACACTAGTAATAAGACCCCTGTCCAAAAATTTCCTCAATTTGATTTGTAACATACATAGCTACTTAATATTTTCTCTTGGTATGATGTAAGTGTGGGAGACACTGTAAAATAATTTTTTAGTAGGTGGATCGTTTTTGTATTGTCATCATTATAAATTTGTATTGGAAATGAAACTCGTTCCTGTAGCATACCACTCTGTAACAAAACACAGCACAAGACACATCTAACGTTATTCACATACATTTTCCTTGTATAGTAAAGATGCCTAAGTCTTTTTTATGGATATAGAAATATGGAGAGTCATGTTGTGTGTTGGTGATCCCAGCTCAGTAAGCCATCTGAATGCCTAAGAACACAAATATGTGTGTTCATAGTAAAGGAATGCTTTAATAAACAGTAAGCTAGCTTTTTAGTCTTTTGATGCGAGATATCTAAAGTCTTATGGGATTTTCTGATACGCATTTTTGTTCAGTAACCAGTGAGCTATAGCCACTAATTAGCTTCTATTTCAAACCACAGCCTAGATTTGGTTCTAACACAAAAAAGACAACATGCATCCATCATGACCAATCTTTTTTTTTTTAACTTTTTTAGATTCATTTTATAATTTCGTAGGTGGTTCTATTTCATGTACTGGAAAAATAAGAGAAAAAGTAATTTGTTAAGGAAAGCAGTCGACTTTTGTTCTCTGTGTTATGCAGGATGATGACAGGCCTATGATTGATGTCATGGATCAATTAAGTTCTTCTATTCTTGAAAGTTTCATTCATGTGGCTGTTTCGGATTCAGTAAGTACTACTTTACTGTTACTGCTAGTGTTTACAAAGCACATGGGCATAAGAAATACCATACCTAAAATACAAAAATAGGGGTACAGGAAATCAAAGAAATCCTACAGTTTTAGGGCTCCAGCCAACTACCCAAGACCTCCAAGACTCCACAACCTCCCAGACAATCAGTTCCATGGAAACAATCATACTATAAATAGAAAAGATACTGCATATTTATAAAAAATATATAGCAGAATCAAAACTACCTAAATTCTGGACCTGCATCCAAAAGAACCATTGAGAAAGTCTTAATTTTCAGCACCTCCTAATGCCCAAGCCACCTAGGACTCACTTGCTTCTATGATCAGTCTTGAAGTTTCAGAAGGGCATGAGCTTTCGTTCTCATGCATGTTTAGAGGTGCTCTGGTCTGCAAACCTAAGCTCTAGAGTAATTCACATGTGGAATGATTCTGTTTTTCTCCTTTCATGGGCCTGATGGGCTTGCTCTGTAGGTATGCATATGCTGTGTCTAACATGTCACTAGAGGAAGCACAGATGCCACAGGTCTTTTAGATGAAACAGTATCAGCAGAAGAAATGATACATAGAGCCACTTGTTTTCCATACTATCTTAGTGGTTGGTACATTCATCCAGAAAACAGAAACTGGGTTGTGGGCACTTTTCAGCCTGATGAAGTTTGAAGCGATCTTTCCTTGCCAGGTTAGTGCCCTAACAGCAAGGCTTTTGTGTGGGAGGAAAGGGACAACCAACTACTGCTGAAGTTGGGCCATTGTGCAGCCCAGAAAAGAAATGTTGCAAGGCCAGAAACTGAGCAAGCAGGAGACATTCTGACTCTGCAACCCAGGAATTAGAAAATTCAGCTGAAATAACAGGACCATAACAGGATCTGGATTTGAGTGTTGCACTTTCTATAGGGAAGGTCTGGATTTTGCCCTTTAATTCTATGCATTGGTTATATAGCAGAGCACACAGTCTTGCCTGTGTACCTGGTTTCTGACCAGTAGAGCAGGGGCTGGTGACTTAGCAGTTATTTTTGTGACAGTGGATGCAGGATGCAGACAATTGTTACATCTTGTTTGAGGGTAGTTAAGTGAATAACAACGATGCCAAAATATGCGTGTTTAAGCTTTCACTCTACAAGATTGTTTTCTTAAGAAGATATTTTAGATTGTAGTAGAGAAATGATTTCTTTATATGATGAGAACCCTACTTGCTCATGAGGGTAGCAGAGCTTAAAGTGGATTAAAACCTTGGTTCAGTAAACTGCTTATGCATATGCTTTAGCCTTTTAATTCCCTAGACTCATATCCAAATACCCTGTTGAATTCTGAAGAATATGTATTAATAGCATTGATATTTATTGTATTGTCATAGCGTGTAGGAGCCTTAATCATGACATAAGGCCCTGCTGCTTTGATCAGACACTGAACATAAGGACAGTCTATATATACTATAGACTGCATCCTAATACAGAAAGCAGTAGAGGGGTACAGGCGGAGAGAAGAGGGAGAAACAATAAGACTATATTGGTCAGCATGGTAGATAGTCATTATAGTGCTTAAGGGCAAGTTGTCTTCATTATGCCTGTCACAGTAAACAGGACTTTTAAGGAGGAACCTGAGGGGAAATAATGAGGCAGCTCTTATCAGCATTTGTGAAAAGCTCCTTCTGAGTAGAAAGGCAATGTGCTGGGAGGCCTGACGGTGTTGGTTTGAAAACCCCACAGAAGATGGCCACAGACCTTGAAAAGAAAGACGAATACTGAGAGGGAACGTGGCAGGGAGTAAATTACTCACACTGTGATTTTTTATTTTTTTCTCTCTTGTAGACAGCAATCCCGTTAACACACAATGTGGACCTGCAGTGGCTGGTGGAATGGAATGCGGTCCTAGTAAATAGCCATTACGATGTAAAAAGTCCTTCCCATGTCTGGATATTTGCACAGTCTGTCAAAGACCCATGGGTTCTTTGTCTCTTCAGTTTTCTTCGACAAGAAAATTTGCCAAAACATTGCCCTACAGCTCTCAGCTATGCCTGGCCATATGCTTTCACTAGGCTGCAGCTGATAATGCCTCTTGTGGATCCAAAGTAAGTGGCAATCTGCAGGTAACTTTCATTTCTACCTGGTTTGTATGATTTTAACACAAGTTGTATTACTGTCATATTTCAATATTAATTCATAAGTCCTGCAAAACTGCCCAAACATTGAGTTCTGAGTTTGATAATTGCAGCTAGCAACTGACACTCTAGTTTTTCCCCTTCACTGATTTTTTCCGTGTATCATGTCATGTTGATTAGCAACACTTGTGGCTATACAATATGTTTTAAGACATGCTTTTAAAAACATATGTGCCCATATTTAAAAATATGCATGCCCTTTTAAAAATATTTTAAGATACTGTGTAATTAAGGTTTGGAACTGATTTAAGAATTTTAATTAATTTATTTTTAAATTCCAGTATTCCTGTTAATGCAAAGAAAACAAGTACAGCGAGCAGTGGAGACAATTATGTTACTTTGTGGAGAAACTATCTTATTCTCTGTTTTGGAGTAGCAAAACCCAGTATTATGAGCCCAGGACACCTGCGTGCTTCAACACCAGAGATCATGGCTACCACTCCTGATGGTACAGTGAACTATGATAATAAGGTGATGCATCCTGTTTCCAACAAATTATTCTGTATTTATCTAGAAAAGTTTTAAACTGTATCTGCCTGTGAAATCACATCGTGATTAAAGTATTTCAGTTAGATTAATGTTTTGATATGTGCAAACTGCTTAAGGTGTAACATGATTTTTCAGTAAATATTTGGCAAAAGCAGTGACATTTTCAAAATAGTATTTTTTTCATTCTGGATGATGTGTTTTCAAAGTATAAAAATGCTGTATATAATGTGTGAAAGTTGACTTTAGCTTGTCATTCCCTCACTTTCCTTGTAGAACACTCCAATGTATAAATCTATAACATTATTATGCATTTTAACATTATTATGTTATTATTATAACAAGAAATGGTGGATTTTTGAATAATTATTGTATACCTATAGGACATGAAAGAGTATTATATGAAATATATTGTATGAAATACAGTCGCAAGTAGTAGCAGCCTGAGAGGAACAGTAGCTCCACAAATGCAATTACTGGTATGTCTTAATGAAATTACAAACTCAGGAAATTACAATATGCTGAATGAAAGTACAGAGATTTCTCAGCTCTACTTACTGGCTAGGCCTGATACAATTATGATGTATCAGACATCCAGCTAGCCTGGTGTGTTAATCTCCATAATTGTAAATCATTTCATCATGTTTTTTAAACTGCATGTTGATTCTTAGGCAATGCTTTTTTGTAAAAATTTGTGTTTACTTAATATTGATAATCCTGACAATCCTCACAATTCAATGTCAATAACATTTTTATTTGTTTTAGGCTATTGGAACTCCATCAGTTGGCGTCTTGCTAAAGCAGCTAGTGCCTTTGATGAGACTTGAGAGCATAGAAATAACAGAATCACTGGTATTAGGATTTGGAAGAACAAATTCCCTTGTTTTCAGGTAGTTCCCTGTTTATTGCAGTCTCAATGATTTGCTTCTAATTCAAATGCATTACTTTTGTTGTAATTTAAATATACTCAAATTTTTATTTGCCCTTTAAAACTTTATTTTTATGTAACAAATAAAATATTGATGCTTGTCAGAGGAGGCTAGATTTTGTTTAAAAGATTTGTTTTTTTAAATTTAGGGAATTAGTAGAAGAACTTCACCCACTAATGAAAGAAGCCCTAGAAAGAAGACCAGAGGTTAGTTGAGGAAATTAAATGTACTTGTTTGTTTAAACTGCAAAACGAATTTAAAAGTAGTGATTTTGTCTCCTTGAAAAACAAAAATGTTCTTTTGAACTGTAGAAGTGACAAGTTAAGCTCTATGTGGAACAATGTTTTTGATAATTGTGTATAAGAACTTTAAATAATTCCATTAAAATTTAGTTTAATTTAATTTGATCGCTAGTGCAAAATGTACAATGCAGAAATCCTTTCCAAGGGAAAAAAAATCCAGTCAAATATGCAACCGTTTCATAATGAACTTAGAAATATTGAAAATCCACTTGCAAAATCAGGAAAAAATATCTTGTAACACAGCTGGGCTAGAAGCTTGTTTCATGGTAGTGTTCAAATGCTCTTTCTATTTGTTGTATAAGCAAGCTCATCTATTTCAATTTCTACTGATTGTATTTGTTCATTCTAAATACGGCAGGTCAGCAGTGACAAATTCATTAGAGTTTTCACCTTCGTTATAGTACTAACCTTTGTTGTAACAGAAAGCAGTGCTGGAAGGTTTCTCATCAGATCCTCCAGTTCATCCAAGAGAGGGTCAGCTAGTCCTATCTTGTCCTTGACAGATGTTGTCTAAACTGTTTTTTTTTAAATCTCTGGTGATAGATTCAGTAGCCCCACTAGGCAGTTGAGTCATGGGATGTGTCTGTGCTGCTAAACAAGAAAGTCATGGGGAGAGCTTGAATATTGGACCTCAGCTGCCACTTTGCTCAATTTTTTCTTCACTCTCTGGCTCTACTTTGGAGCTGGCTCCGAGGCAAAACTCTGAGTTGGTTCTGGTGATAGCTCACTCCCAGGAACAACTTTGAAAAGCACCAACCCACTGAGCCTCATCCTACAAACGACCCCAACTGCCTTTGCTCTACTACATCATCCTCCACCTCTGAGTGTGCAACAGCCTACGGGCAAGTTACAAACGCACCACTCTGGCTGCAACACAGCTCTCATTTTATATCAGACAGTTTGTGATAAGAAAATATATGGTGTTACTGCCTTATGGCCACAGGAGCCTCGCACAGGAGCCTTGCTGGGCAACATGGACGTAGCCAGTCTTCTTGGAGTGGGGCATGCAGTAGAGCACTGGGAATATGAGGTGATCTGTGTCACTTGGCTTTGGGGCCAGGAACAGTCCCCGACTACGTGCCAGTGCGGACACAGCCGTTGTGTCCGTGCTGTTCTGCCAGTAAGTCTGCACAGCTACGTGCTGAAAGCAATTGCATTAGTACACTGCATTAGTACTGTGCTCTGTCCAGGCCAATTTACCTGGTTCTTGAGCCATTTCAAATTGTGTATTCATTACACTGTCCTCCACAGCAGTTTCAGTAAGCTGCCCTCATGGTTACCTGGTGTGTTATTCCTGTCTACTCAGGCTTAGTCTTCGAGGCAGAAGTCTCGCGGAGAACGGTGGACGGGAGGAAATTAAATCATGAATAGGTAGAAAGAGACTCTCAGCTGTGCCCTATATAGAAACAAAAATTAATTCACTCTGCAGGCAGTTCATTCATGCTAATTATTATGTGAACAATTCTTAATAACTCTGTATCTGACAAGCATCCACTATTGTTCCCATCTTGTGTGGCTTCACAGCTCATTCCACCTGTGTGCCTTCCATCCCTATGAAGTCTTCAATTTGAAGGTTTTTTATTTTTGTACTGGGCAGAAGTTAATTAGTATACCTGTTACAGCAACCGCTTGCCTCTGCATTTCTGACTGTGCACCCTCAAAGAGGACTTGGACTTGAATGTTTTTTTCCAACCTGCCCCCTGGAAAGGAACCTCCAGAGGACAGATGTTTACAGAGTGCTGCAAGAGCAAGCGAGGCCAATGGAAGTTGCAGCAGAGAGACCTGAGAACAAGGGGCAATACCATTACTTTCCATATTGCTCCTGCTGGTAGCCATCCTGTGAAGGGCCACCTTCCTCCAACCAGTGACACCAATAAACATGGGAGTGATTGTAGGGGTCGAGTAGCTATAGCGAACACGACACACATACCATGTTAGCAGGCAGGTGTCCAACACTCCAGAAATGACTTACTTGAACTGACACACACCATGACTAGAGAGAGAATTATTAGGACAGCCAAGAACTTCAGGAGGAAACCAATAAGAACATTGCACAAGATCCCCCCAAGGGTGCTCACGCAGAACTTGCCTCAGCATGGTGTTGCAGCATCACCTCTCTGTTGGAGGAGACATTGTGCTTGTTAAGTACTAGGTTGCAAAAAAACTCCATGCCAGCAATAAAACTGCTTTTTCTTTACGTGTGCTTCCTGGAATCTTTAAGGAGTAAAGAGAACAAGCCAGGGCTTTAAATAGGGCAAATCATATGGCATAAAGATTTGAATGAAACGTTTGGCTAGGATGCTTCACACTGTCACTGCTGGGACAGAATACCAGGGAAAGTATCGTTTTTCTTTTCCCAAGCATCTGCTGCTGGCCATTGGCAGAGCCAGAATGCTAGGTGAGATAAGCCTTTGATCTGACTCAGTATTGCCCTTCTAAAAGGAAAATTTGAGCTTTCTCTGAGCTTTTCTCATTCAGACAGCAAATTTCTTTGTGGAGCATAATAGCACCTTTTCGACCTCGTATTTTTCTGCTTAGTGGAGATGCAGAATACAAAGAAACAAGTCATTTTAGCTCTTCATCAAAGAGCAGGCCTTGCTGCAACCACATCTTTCAAGGGCAAAACAGAAGACAGGAAGGAGAGCTTTCTGGAAGATCTGGAAATACAATGAGCCAGTTAACAGTGCAGACCTATTCTATAGGAAGAGTGTGATAACTGCGCATACAGCCATTGCAATCAGTGCATCCAACAGCACTCCACTGGAAAGATGTTTGCAAGCAAGCTGACTTGAGTGTAAAGGATAATGTAGCTGTAGCATTAGTGAGTTCAAGAATGGCTAAACATTAAAATATTTACCTGGAGTCTGACTAGCCATTCTGCATTTTACAGTGCTTACAGTGCCCAGATTAGATAGTGTAAAGCTAACATGAATATCCATGCTACCTGAAGAAAGCAAATTTTTGGCACAGAAACCTTGAATGATTAATTAATTTTCGGGTACTATTTCAAGGTGTTATATCTACATTTTCACTGAGGACTAATGTTGTTAACAGTTTGTTCAGAATAGTTATAAAGGCAAAAATCTGCACATACTTATATCTGTGTTGCTCTTTAAGCGCACAGTTATTGTGAAGTACCCAAAATTCAGTCAATTTTTATTGAACATCCATGAAGAAAATGCTTAGACTAGACTTCTGAAAACTGGCTGCCTTAGCACATTTATGAAGTTAGTAGTTTTTAGTGTATGCACCCATGCATATAAAAATGGTTGGTTTTTTTTGAATTCCAAGAACAAGAAACGTCGAGAGCGCCGAGATCTGCTGAGGCTACAGTTACTGCGAATTTTTGAACTACTTGCTGATGCTGGTGTTATAAGTGACAGGTAGGACTATCACTCATCATAAATATTGATCTTTAAGTGAAACAGTTTTCAATGTTTGCAACACTGAGTTTATGTCAGTATGTTTTTTGAAGAATTCTAAAATATACCAGATAAGGAGTGATGCTTATACTCCTTCAGAAAACTGTAGTTTAAGTACAGTGCTACTCTGTTTTAATGTTCAATTTTCCTTTATGGTAGTACAAATGGAGCCTTAGAAAGAGATACACTAGCCCTTGGAGCCTTGTTCTTAGAGTACGTTGATCTGACTCGCATGCTTCTGGAGGCTGAAAATGATAAAGAAGTTGAAATTCTTAAGGATATGAGAGCACATTTCAGTGCAATGATTGCCAACTTGATTCAGTGTGTTCCAGGTAAGGTGCTAAATTATCTCAACATATTATGAAATCACTTTTATTATATGTGATTAGGATGTGTCTAGGAAAAGTGATTTATTATTTCTTCTTGTTGGTTTGTTAATGTTTGAGAATTGTTGTCTAGTGAATGTAAGGACAAAATAGTGAAGAAGTCTATCAAGAGTTGAATCAAATACCAGTAAATCTTGCTGATAGTTGTCATGTTCTGACGTAGGTCTTTTATTTACAAGCTCAGCAAAGAAATTATCTGTGACTTTTTGGGACTCCATATTTTTTTGACACAAGGCCTTATTTGTTCCCCCTTGACTTCATTGCTGGACTCTTCATAAATATAGTCAGGCCTTGAAAAATATAGGTAGGTGCATAAAATGTACAATATTGAAAATAGTGGAAAAACTTGCTGAGCAATTTATCCCATTTCATTCAAATCTCCAGTTGTCTTTTGCAGAGCAAAGATCAATCTGATTAATTTCATACTTTGTGTATTGCAAGATCATTTCAGAAATGTAAAGTAATTCCATTAACAAAAAATACAAAAAAAGCCTGCTTTAAGGGCCTCTGTGTAAACAGTGGAAGATAAAGTCTGGAGCTTACTCAATGCATGTGCATTTGCTATCTCCAGATCATTTATGACAGGACATAACAGCAGTTGTAACAAGAAATAAGAAAGTATTCAAAAGAGTACAGTAAGGGAATAAAGAATGAACAAATGCCAGATGCTTTAACATAAGTTCCCAGTATGCAAATTGTTATCAAAGTTGTACAGCTGCTTTCAGTTGCAAGACACATAAAAAATATACCATAATAGTTAAACAAGATAAGTTGAAAAACAGCATCCCTGCTGTTCTCAGTTAAGTCAGTAAAAAAAATCTGCTTTGAATTAAATGGTGTCAAGTTCTTAGCTGTTATTAATGAACGAAATACTGAATTTATTTATTTTGTTTGTTTCCTGGATGATGCTCATGAAAAATAAGAATTTCTCTAGTAGTCACTTTGCAGTATTTGCACAGGTTCTCCTCCTTCAATTTATTGTTACTTTAGACAAGACACATGGCAAAACAAAGGACGGCAAGTTTTATGAATTTAATACAATGAAACAGCTATGCTGTATGTTTTGAGAGGATGTAGTGATAACTGATGCATTTAATAATTCAGCATGTAATTATAAAGAGAGGTATTTTCTGCTAGCAAGCCAACTTTAAAATATGCCTATATCTACCCAACCCTTAACCTACAATTCCCAGCAAACAAATGTTTATTGTGTCCGCATCTACCATCTTCGTGCCCTTGTTCATACTGACTTGCGTTCGTATTGTCTAGTTAAGAGTTTGTTGGCTTCCAGCATAGTTTCCAGGGGAAAAATAATTGACCAGTAACAATTTGCCATTCTCTTAATAAGCGCCTGATGAACAGTACTTGTATAGTTTCTTTTAAATGACCGACAATGTAGTAACTCGTTCCTGGCATCTAGGAGAGGCCTGAAAACTCTACAGAGGCATTGTCTCCCGTTGAGCTGGTGTGATCTGCTTTCTGGCCTGACAGCCAAAGGGCAGGAGGAATGCAATAGCTGGTCAATCCACTGGCCTGACAGGAGGAACTGAGGCAGTAATTGGCCCATGTGTTGAAATTTTTCTTTTGCAGAGAAGGCGATGTTTAATTTGTCCTTTACTCCTTTCACAGATAGATGTTGTCATTTTTACTTCATCAGGAAAATTTTTTTCTGTGTTTGCATCAGACAATTGCATGATATTTTTTCTCTATATCTTATGTAATATAGCATATTACTGCCTGAAACTCTTGCTGTCTGTGAGGTTCAGAACTATACTGGATAGCGATAATTTCTTTGTTGAGTTTGTTCTTCCTAGCGCCTTTCTTTCCTCTCAGATACCTCCGTCATGTTTTGTTCAGGGGGAATTAAAACTATTGTTTAAAACATTTCTGATTCTTTTTTCTCAAATAGTATTAAAACTTCATAGATATTTTCCATTTGCTCAGATAATTTAGCTGTTCAGTAAGTATAGTACATCTTTGTCATAAATAAACTAATGTCAAGTTTCACTTAATTCTTGTCCCCACCTGCTGCTGTAGAATAACACATATGTATTGTTTTGGCTTGCGTTTAAAGGATTGAAAAAAACAAGTAAATGTTTGCCACTAGCAGAATACACGAGGCAGTGATTCTGTAAGCCTGATTCTGTAAGTGGTTTCTTGCGTGCTATTTCTAAAGTCAGACGTATGGTGTTCATTTAAACACACATTATTTCAGGATTTAAGGTTCCTAGAAGCAAGACACATATTATTCACCATGATCGATTTAAAAACAGGAACTTACTTAGATATTTTGGAGTAACTGTATCCTGAACATTTAAGAAAAACTCCATATTTGTAGATTCATATGCTGTCATCTCTGCCACATGATTGTTTATTTGACATTAACAAAACATAACTATTTCTATTTCTATTCACATAGTTCACCACAGGAGATTTCTCTTCCCTCAGCAGAGCTTGAGACATCACTTATTCATCTTGTTCAGCCAGTGGGCAGGACCTTTCAGTATTATGTTCACACCACTGGACCGTTACAGTGATAGAAATCATCAGATTACAAGATACCAGTATTGTGCATTAAAGGTATTAAAATTTCTATGCAAAATCAGTAATACCAATTCTCCAACAAAAATACAAGTAATCACAGTTTTTATTTCTTTTTATTTCACAGTAATTTGAATTGGCCTACTTGATGCAAATTCGTACACTCCCTTGTGTATGTGTATATCATAAGATGCAACGGTATCAACCACTGAAGTTATATATATTTTTCTCTGCAGTCATTTTTCAAGGCTAATTACTTTGAAAAGCAGAATGCCTTTTAAAATTTATTTAACTGTTCATTAACAGGTTATCAGATGGAGTGAGAGGATATTAGGCCCTGAAATTAAAAACAGTGTCAATTTAGTATCGTATGCACATCTCAGGACTGTCTCCCACACTTGCCTGGGGACATGCTCAGTAATATTAAAATGCTTTTATAGCAATAACAGTTGCATCTCCCCCATGTAAGTAAGCTGGGAAAATAATAGCCTACCTGCTTATATAACCATTGTCACTTGATATAAAACAATTTTAATTTTTGCAGAGATATGCTATTAAAACATCTGTTTAATTGCATTTGTAGCTTCATTTGGAAAGACTCTGTAAATGACAAAATTAATTTTGAAGCATGGGGAAACTGTGCTATAGTATTCCTACCAAAATGCTTAAACTCAGCATTATCTTAAAATCAGGTAACATGTATAGCCCTATAATTATTGAAATCTGGAAAAAACAACTAGGGCCATTTTCACCATAGTTTCCTCAAAAATAAAAACAAGCAGCAATCTTTTTAGCCCTGTACATCTGGGCCTAAATCATTCTGAAAGTTTCACTCATGTTAAGTTTTTATTTAACTAAAGTTCCTCATGTTTCTAGGCCATGTCAGCTGTGCTCTGCTGTGGACCAGTATTTGACAATGTTGGTCTTTCCCCTGATGGTTATCTTTACAAATGGCTTGATAACATTCTGGCTTGTCAAGATTTACGTGTAAGTACTCATCAAAAGTGCAGCACTGGTCATTTTAAACTCTGTGCTGAGTGAGTTTGTACTGTAAGAACTTTGATTGTATACGCTCTGTCTTGAGCAGGAAACAACAGCTTTATGCAAGGTTCTAATACAGCGGTGTAATGAATTAAAGAAGTATTTAAATATTAAAAGATTCTTTATTATTTTGGACGTATAATTCCCGTAAACAGTAAGACCAAAAAATTGCCTTATAGCAGATTTTTTTTGCAGCAGTAATTTAGGCTTTGCATTTGCTACTAAATGAAAGATTAAAGACAGCATGAGCTCAAAAATATTTGTATTTCTATTTCGAGTACTTCCACCCACCTACTTCAAGTTTCTGTGGAATGAGAATATAAAATCATTTCCTGCTCAGTGTCATAGATGCTCATGAAACAAATCTGACTGACTGAAAGTGAGTACGTAGATCTTCTTTCCAAAGAAGTCAAGAGGATAAATGATTTAGAAGAGGAAAGAAAGATTTTTTTAATCACATAATTGATTTTTCTTACAATTTTCTCTTCCATTTGTGCAAAGATGGGTTTCTCTATTGGCCTTCTAACTACCCAATAACATTTCTGTTTTATAGCTGGTTGGAGTACCTCTTTGTTCTTTTTCCCTGCTTAACCATACATCACCTAGTCTCGTCATTAATCAATGATATTTCCCTTTGTGGCACCTTGCACTTAGACCTGCTATAGTCTCTATGAGCACCATCACAGCACAGGTCACTGTGATTGCTAGAAAAATGCAGATAGCAAAGCTTGAAGGCTGGTGGAGCAGCTAGAAGATACATGCTGTAGAAATTGTATTTGTTTACCAAAAAAAGTTACAAGAAAGGATCACCACAGAGCGAATCTGTCGGGATTTAGGTAAGATTTAGGCATGCTGGTAGGGGCAGAGCTATAGAGATGTGTAAAAGTGATATGTTCAAGTGAAGCTCTTGCAGATGTGGGAATGAAATGCCCAGAACAACAGTGAGGAGAAAGGTATACTCTTCCTCCTGATATGTTTTCATTATTGTAATCAAATATTATATTACCTTTCCTAGTTGATCATTAATATATGTCATGCATAAAATAGCTGAGAACAAAACATATCTTTTTTTTAACCCCTCTCCTTGAAATACGAAATCTGGTGATGAAAGATGAAATTTGTTTCCCATAAGCTAGTCTCTGAAATTCGTGATTAATCACTGTAATTAAGGACTGTGACTAAATTGCATTGCCTGTACAGCTGGTTCAGATGTATACCTCCCTTAGGTGAGAGGGACCCTATCAGTCCAGTAGCATTAAATATCGTTTGCAGTCTTCTCAAGAAGTTAGTTACGCTTGGTGACAGAATCTTGTTAAGCATTAGCGTTTGGTGTCAGTACTATCCTCAGCTGAAGGATCGCAAAGACATAGTCCAAGCCTTAGCAGCAGGGTTTTTGTAGCAGTGGTGATCTCAGGATTAAGTGAGATAAGGTTCTGGAGAAAGAGGTAATATCTCTGTTAGATCATTTGATGTAGTTGAATTCAAGTTGTCAGACCCACGGCCTGCAAAAGATGTTGTTTCTCTTTGCCTGCCTTGCTTGTGTGTTGGTCAAAAGAATGATAAACATGAGTTCCACGTGACTTCGTGGAACTCAAGTGAAGTAGGAAGTAAACATTTAAGAAATCAGTTAGTTAACTAATACACGTGGATATTGCCCAAGAACATATATCAGATGTGTCTTAGAACTAGATTTTCTAATGATTCTGTTTTACATGCTTAATGTTGGAAATCTACCTTGAAAACATTTTTCATTTATGTAGTCATTGTACGGATAGTTTTCTTTGAAGTGAGGAATACTGAAAACTGAGTTACATTTCAACTGTGCTATCCCTAAAATAAATTGGTAAGTTTTCCAATTTCTTTTCACTTATTCTGAATAAAAAAAATTTACGTTTTTCTGCCTATATCATTTCTAAGAATCACAGGGAGTGAACCTTCCTGATTTCACTAGTCACGTTTCCACATGTGTATGTATTCTCAGGTTCATCAGCTTGGATGTGAAGTTGTAGTCCTCTTACTGGAATTGAATCCTGACCAAATCAATCTCTTCAACTGGGCTATAGATCGGTGTTATACTGGATCATACCAGCTTGCCTCTGGATGTTTCAAAGCCATTGCAACTGTGTGTGGAAGCAGGTATTAATTAATCTATAATTAGATATATATTATATGTTACTCAATGCGAAACAAAATCAAGTCTGTTATTTCTAAAACAGTTCTAAGTGATCATTAGGTTGTGTATTCCCACCATATTCTGATTTAAATAGATTTAAATGATTTTGGAATTGACAGATAATGTTTCCACTGGTGAACCTCCTTGTTGTTGGTTGCTGTTCTGGTTTGGAGTGGTGTTTCTGGTGTGAAAGAGGAAAAAGGAAAAAAATACCTGTGAGTGAAGGGATGAGGGGGGAGGAGCATGCATGGCCAGTCAGTATATTGTCCTGGAACATCCACTGAAAAAGTCATCTCTGCAGATTGGCAGACCACAGGAGAAAGGGTCTAAGGATGAGTATTGGTACAGTATGCCGCATGCTGTCTCTGCAGATGTGCTCACTTTATAGTCCCAACAGTGGCAGCAAGATAACTGAAAGAATCAGGTCCAGAACGCCAGTGATCAGACATGCTGACGACCATCTCAGCTGCTTATGCACTTTCAAACGCAAAGGAAATTGGTTGTGCAGCTTGTGTTACAGAGAAATGCTAGGCACATTCTTATGTTGTCCTCTCAAACAGCTCCTGGGGACTGTATCGCTTTATTTCCATGATTCTGGACACAGAGTAACGTGTCTGTTAGAAGGTGCTTTAACTATGCGTATTTGAAATCTGTGGCCTTTTTATGCTGCTTTTTGCAGAAAGATACTAAATAAATGCAAGATTTTAATTTGCAGCATAGCTCATAAATCTAGTTTCAAAAGATTCGGCATGCTTTTTCATTTATTCTGTAACAAGTAAAATATTTTAATTGTTCTTAGTTTGAAAGTAATTATTTTGTTCTTTTTCTAACTGGCTTCAATTTGGTTATCTGTTCCTCTTCTGTGGACTGATACCGTCGCTGCTACTGGCAAGCACAAGCTACAGGAAGACAGATACAAACAAAAATTGCTGCTTTTGTGTCAAGCCGTCACAAAAATCTCATTTCTCTTTGGTATCTTTTCAAGAAAAAAGTTGTAGAGAAATTCAGTAGTAGTCTAAAAACAGAATATAATTTACATCTAATTAAAATAAGCCCGAAAATTTAAGTCTTCTTGACAAAAACATAATTTGGCAAGATATCAAGATACATTTTACTGAGATTTTTAAAATGTGAGTGGAATGTTGTATTTGCAAATTCAGTTATTTTAAGTTTTTTTTTAATGTTTAATGAATATTCAAGCATAACAGATCTTCAGCTAGTCTTTTTTCCTCAGATTGTGTTACCTATGCCAGTGTGTCCTAAGAAACAATCTTTCCCACACAGCAAAGACTGAAAGTATGATCTGCCTGATGTTCTTTGAGGGGAAAGTCTGATTTCTATCAAGTTGGGGATTTTAATTAATATTTGAAACCAGCTGGCAGCATTTCCCTTTTGATCTTATATCAATACGTATAGAGAGATCACAGCTTAAACAAGCTGTAAAATCAGCCGTAGTGTATTTCACTGTTGATGTCTTTCTTTTTACAGAGAATAAATACTCAGTGGCTTGCAGTTTATGGTCTTCCCAAGCAGTGTTTCTATTGTGATGCTATAAGTAACGTGTTCTAGAGTACATTACTCTTGTAGCTGTAGACAATGGAATCATCATAAAAATATATTATCTATTTTTTAAATTTTTTTCAAGAGATGTCTGCAAATACTTTATATGATTTCAAACTCCTTGGGAGCGTATACTGCCTGCTGGCAACAATTTGGCCTGTGCCATGAGCAATGTGAGGTAGATGGGAACAGTAATAAATATCTCAGTTAATTAAAACTTTTATCTGAAGACAAAAGTGTAAACTCTCCACTTAACTATTTAAGACAGGGCATAATTAATAACACTGCATACATAATATTATGTATCAAGATCTTTATTTGTATCTCTGAAAAAAATGAAAGAACTTGTATAACTACTCTGCTGAAGCCTAAGAGAGGATTTAGTACTCCCAAAGTAGGTACACAGACTTACAAATATTGATCACATCTCTTCAAATAATTTATCTTTCATAGGAAGGGGCCTGCAACAGAAGCATTTTTTTCTAGTTAATTTTTCTTGTCAGCTATTTTACTAATTTATTTTTTCTGTAGGCAAGTTTTTTCAATTGAATCCATGTCTACTATAAATTATATTTTAAGTAAAACTTTTTAAACCCAGTCTTTAAATTTTCTTTTGGTTTATTTTATCCATATATTTTAGGCAGTTGCTTGGTGAAATTTGCAGTTTCAAGAGGATCCCCGTAACAGGAGTTTTTGGAGGGGGGAGGGTGAATTTTTTAAACTCAGTGGAAGGACAAAGAAGCTGGTATAGAGCAGTATGGGTTGCAGCTACTACTTGGAATTACCAAAAATGTCCCCTGCCATGCATGAGTTGGCCATATTTTTAATGCTGAAGTGTCCAAATAGGCATTCTGTATCCATCTAGGAGCACAATAGGTCAAATCTAGGGTGGGAAATTGAGGGCTCACAATTCAATCATATGCATTTACAAATCATCATGAAAAAGAAATAGAAGCTTGTTCAGTGAAAATCCAAATGATGTGACAGGGAATTGCTTTTCTAGCAACAATCTCATCAAGTTAATGCTTTAATAGGTTTACCCTTACAAAAAACTTTGACTTTTTAGTATAGTGGACGTTCTTATCAGCCTTCTGTGTTTACTCTTTAAAAACAATTTTGATAGAACAGTCTACGATCTGGGACTGTACATGTTGGAGATAGTATTTTTTCTCCAAAGAGACCATTTTAGACTGCAGCTTGGTTTGAGAAGTACTCTATCCCTGGAAATTCTCTTGCTACCCATCTTCTCTCATGGATGCTGGCCTATTCTATAAACTGTCTAGTTATAGATTAAAGCGAATTGACAGGTATAGACTCAAGTATTGCATTTCTCACTGCACACTACTCAGTGCATTCCTAAGCGCTGGTCTAAGGTAATTATAAATAACCCCTTCTTTCTTCCCATTCACCAGATGGCTCTTTAATCAAGCAACATGTATTCATAAGAGCTCCCTTTCGCATATTCTGGTGGTAGAACAGAGAAAGGAAAGATGGCAATCTCTTTAGACCATAATACACAGTAAATCAGAGTGAATATAATCTGTATTGCTCACCAACATTCACAAAACTGTACTGTTTATTCTTCTAGGAACTATCCTTTTGATATAGTGACGCTTTTAAACTTAGTGCTGTTCAAGGCATCTGACACCAACAGAGAGATTTATGAAATTTCCATGCAACTTATGCAGGCACGTATCCGCTCCTTTTTTTTTAAAACAACTAAATGCATGTGCCCCCCCTCTCTTTGGTATGTCTGTGGACTTCTTATAAAGTACTGTTTATTTACTTTTTGGTTTTGTTTTTAAAATGAATAATTAGTTTTGTCTTGGCTATAAATACTTATGGGAATTTTTATTTAAAAAATGGGAAAAGACTAGTTATGGTGTTTTAAATTTGGAGAGTTTATGCAGAAGCATATAGGTCATTCTCAAATGATAAAGGTTGAAATGCAGACATTTTCTGAATTAATGAATTTTTATTATCTTATTGCATGTTTTTCTTCTCTTTCACAGATCCTTGAATCAAAGCTTTTTGTTTATTCAAAAAAGGTAGCTGAGCAAAGACCAGGCAGTATCTTGTATGGTACACATGGTCCATTGCCACCTCTTTATAGTGTCTCACTTGCCCTTCTTTCATATGAACTAGCAAGGATGTATCCTGAACTTACCCTTCCACTTTTTTCAGGTACCTGTATCTATTTGACCTATGATCTATGTTATATTTTTTTACAAACGATAAGTTGCTAAGAGATTTCCATTTGTGAATAGCAGTTCTGTATATAAATGTAACTTGACCCGATTTTATTCCTGTGCAGTTCAAATCGGATTTACAAATGTGTTACATATTTCCTGGGGATATGTATACAAAGCATAGAATAGTTATTTAAAAACCCAAGCAGAGATTCTGTGCCACTTGTGTTGTCTTAGGATAACTTCAAGATTACGGAGGCCCCAGATAAGCTGAAGTGACATTGGCAAAGTGTACCATAATGGATTCTCATGTTAAGCACAGTGATTCTTCTCATCTGTATATGTATATAGTTGATATTTGTGAGGATAGAATTCCTCCTTCTATAAACATGGCTTTATATTTGGCAAGATGGTTTATGTGTTTGTGTGTTTCCCATCTTACCAATGATTCAAATCACTCTGAATCAGGGATCTGGACCTTTTGTTATTTGCCACATTTGTAAGACTTTTCTATCTTTTTAAAATTTTATCAAAAAGGCTTTTTGTCAGGGTTACTGAGAAACATGTTAAATAACATAGGGCCAAGAATCAGACCTGTGGGAGCACCATTCAGAATATGCCTACTCTGAGATCATTCCTAGGAACAATTACATTTTGAGATCTGCCTGCTTTAATTCATCTAATGTATTGCTCTAGTTTTTAAATAATGGAATGCAATGTCTGTAATCGTGGGGAATTTTTACGGGCTTTTAAAAAACCTTTGTGTTATTCCAGGTTGTTTTTACTCAGTCTGCAGAGGCTGGAGCAAGAGTAAAGGAATGATACATTATCCACTTCTGAGTACCCAAGATACCATGGGTTAGAAATAACTGGTGTAGGAAAACTGTGTTGGCTCATTTATCTTAAAAGAGCAAATGTTCATCATTATTACTGTTATCATCTATTTATGTTGCTGTAGTGCCTGTGTCATTTAATAGAACTCAGATACACAGACCACATCACATCCCCTTATACATCTAGCACCATAAAGAGAGATAAGAGCAGTCTATATCCTGAAGATTTTTGAAAACCAGACAGTGAGGAAAGAAAGGAAATGTACTGATTTTACAGAAGAAGAATTCTGGCAAAGAAAGCTAACATAGTTCACCTTGGCAGGAAGCCTGTGGCTGTGTTTCTTATTCCAGATTTCCCAAATCCTTCTCCCTTCCAGTGCCAGCTCTTTTCTACAAACTGTATAAAGCGCTATATGCAGCACTCCTAGAGTAGCAGCTGCCTATGAATTTTATAGGCCTTTCTATGGGGAATAAAACTCCTAATACCTGCAAAGTGTTTTATTAAATCGGTATAATAAATACCTTAGGATTTAAACTAAAGCTTAAAAATGTGGAGGCTGATGGGACACTTGCAGTTTTGCAGAACACTTGTATGTTTTCCGTAATTCTCCAAAAGCTCTTGAAGTTCTAGAAGAACTGCCAGTAACTGTATTATCCTCTTTCCTCTTTCCTGGCATCAACCTCACTTAATATATGATATGGCATGGTAACAAGGGGTGACTTTTTGTTCTAAGCTTAAAATATGTTAATTATTTTGGACAACCAGTTGTTTGCTAGTACTGAACATTAATATTCCTTTTCAAGAAACTTAAATATATGCTTTTGTACACCTTTTGTTTGCCAGATAAAAACCATCAGGTAGTCTAACAGAAATGTCAGAAATCTAATTTAAACAATGTATTTAAGCTTCCTTTTATAAACTAACACTTTACCTTTTTAACTTTTGCTATTTTAGAGGTAAGCCAGCGATTCCCAACAACACATCCAAATGGAAGACAGATCATGCTTACCTATCTGCTGCCATGGCTTCATAATATTGAACTTGTAGACAACAGACTGCTCCTCCCCGGTTCAAGCCCTACCACTCCAGAAGACGAAATAAAAGACAAGGATGGGGAAATAGGAGTCACGAGTGGATTAAAAGGCAATGGCTGGGGCTCTCCTGAGGCCACATCACTGGTTCTTAATAATCTCATGTACATGACAGCCAAGGTAAAAAAAAGAAAAAAAAAAGTAAACAACTCCGGAAATTTCAGACTGTTTTGTTTCATAAGCAAAATGCACTTAAGTTTCTTCCCTCTGATACAGAAATTTGGCACTGGAATAGTCTGTTCTAATCAGACACAACCCTGTTTCTAAAGAGGTTCCTTCACCTTTTCTTTTAACAACAGTGCTAGGACTATTCTTCCTTTTCAAAACATGGTCAAAGAAAACGGTATTCTACCCGTGTTAAAAAATGTAATGGTTAGCATTAAACATTAGATTTAGACATAGAGGAAAAAGGTTCAGTTCCCTCCTGTATCACTTCCCAGGATAACACCCCACACAGCACATGAAAG